TTGCTTATTGGCTGGTGTGGGAAGTATATGTATATGTGTTGCTTTTATTGGTTAATAAAGAAGCTGCTTTTGGCCAATGGCTAATATATATATATATTCATATATATATATATATCAGGCCAGCCTCAAATTAACAAGAGATCCTCCTACCTCTGCCTTCTAAGTGCTGGGATATCTAGCTGATAGTTTTCTATTTAAAAAATATTTCAGGGCTAGAGAGACTGCTCAGCAGTTAAGAGCACCAGCTGCTCTTCCAGAGGACCTGGGTTCAATTCCCAGCACCTACATGGCTGTCTGTAACTCCAACAACTGTCTATAACTCCAGTTCCAGAGGATCTGACACCTTCACACCAATGCACGTAAAATAAAAGTTGAATTAGGGCTGGAGAGATGGCTCAGTGGTTAAGAGCACTGACTGTTCTTCCAGAGGACCCAGGTTCAATTCCCAGCAACCACATGGTGGCTCACAACCATCTGTAATGAAGTCTGGTGCCCTCTTCTGGACTGCAGGGATATATTCAGGTGGAACACTGTATATATAATAAATAAGTAAAACTTGGAAAAATAAAGTTAAAATAAAGTCAGTGTTTAAAAAGTGTTTTAAAGCTTGTCCATGGGGGCTGAAGAGATGGCTCAGCAGTTAAGAGCATTGTCTGCTCTTCCAAAGGTCCTGAGTTCAATTCCCAGCAACCACATGGTGGCTCACAACCATTTGTAATGAGGTCTAGTGTCCTCTTCTGGCCTTCAGGCATACACACAGTCAGAATATTGTATACATAATAAATAAATAAATAAATAAATAAATAAATAAATAAATACTTTTTTTTAAAAAAAAAAGCTTGTCCATGTGTATTTACACATGTGTGTGGGTACCTGGAAAGGCCAGGAGGGGTGCTGGACCCCCTGTAGCTGGAGTTAGAGGCTCATAACACACAGGGTCCTCTGGAAGAGCAGCAAATGCCTTCACCATTGAGCTTTTTCTCCAGCTCTATTTCAAGAAATCTCCAGAACTCAATTCCATATCACCTCTCTTAGCTTCTGATTTCTGTTGGATTTTTGCAGATGTGTCCCACAAAACTCCCCATGAGTTCTCACTCAGGAGGCTCAGAAGCAACCTCTGAAGGATCTCAAAATAACATACTACTTTTCCCTTATAATGAAAAAAAAAACTAATTCTGTCACATGTCCACAGAGCTCAGTGCCAAATAAATGACACTTGGCCTTTGTTGGCATACATTCGCATGAATATTTAGTTAGTTATATGAAATTCCAAGAAGAAGTCCGACCTCGTCTCTATCAGTCATAGTTCTATTTTTCTTCTCTCTCTCTCTCTCTCTCTCTCTCTCTCTCTCTCTCTCTCTCTCTTCTTTTTTTTATTTGCTTGTTTGTTTTCAAGACAGAATTTTTCTGTGTAGCCCTGACTATCTGACTGTCCTAGAACTTGCTCTGTAGACCAGGCTGGCCTCGAACTCACAGAGATTAACTTGCCTCTGACCCCCTAGTGCTGGGATTAAAGGTGTATGCCACCAACACTCAGCTCTTTTCTTTAGAAAAAAAGATTTATTTATTTTATTTTATGTGTATAAATGTTTTGCCTGCATGTAGTATAGAAATGCTTATTTCCATAGAGGTAGAGTTATTTGTATAAGTCAAAAACAATAACATCCCCCTCACACACACAGAAAGAGAGAGAGAGAGAGAGAGAGAGAGAGAGGTGTTTTTAAAAGTACCTGGCTTACAAGGTCTCATAGACAAGGACAGTTACCCCCTGGAAGGATAGGGATAAGGTCATTTGGAGGATCTCCAAGAGGAGAAGTTCTGCAGCTGAATTCTGACGGTGGGACCATGACTTGGCTTGGCTGCCAGCACCGGTTTCTGAGGTCGGCTATGGGACTGTTTGACTTGCAGTCACTCTGTACATTCACTGCACCTATGCAGATAAGCAGGACTGAGCAATAAGACTAGGAATGTTTCTGAAAACAAAATTAGTTTATTGTGATTACTTTTGGTAGAGACTGGGGAGATGGCTCAGTTGATAAGATGTGAGACCCTGTGTTCAGAGAGTTCAGATGCACAGAACACATAAAACACATTGAGAGAGAGAGCAAAACAACATCATCATCAACAACAACAACAACAAAAGACATTAAACAGCAACAACAGCAAAATCAAACCCGACATGGCAGCAAATGTCTGCAATCCTAGCACGGAGGAACAGAGAGTAAAAATATCAGTCACTGAAATGGGTGAGAAAATTCCATGAACTGTAAAGATTTTCGTTTGTTTGTACATTCATAACTGGAGAAGATGAGAAATTTTTTCTTAGGTATTAAGTTCACAACACTCCTAATTCTAGTCATCTAGCCTCAAAGAGTCCTTTCAAAAACAGTGCTCCATGCAGAGCCCTAGAGTGCTTGACTTTGTATTACATTTGCTAGGCTGCTTAGCCAACACCAGCTAAAGAGGAGAGAACCACCCAGAAGCCCCTGGCCTAGACCGTTTGTCAGATGGGGCAGGGGGACTCTCAGCTCCTGTGGTGTGAAGACGTGTAACTCCAGGCTCCTTGAATCACACACTAAAGCCTCCTTTGCCTAACTGTAAATGGGCATAATTGCAGTACCTACTACACCAAGGAAATGTTGGAGAATTACAGGCAAATCAAAATCCCAACTTATTTAGCCTAATACCAGAACACAGCCATTACCCAAACATGCACTAGGAGCTAATTCCTGCAGCTACTTCATAAGCGGTAGTTTTGCTGAGCAATTCTTTCTTCTTTGGTCCTCCCCTGTGGAGCAACAAGTCCAGGAAAAGCAAACTCTCTTAAAGAGAAAGTGTCAGGGAAAGCACGGCAAGGTTGCTCTGCAGGGTGGGAGGCATTGCCTGGTCTAAGCTATCTATAGCTGGACTAAATGACACAATGTATCTGCTAAACTCCTTGCCGCATATTTAGGCAGAAACAAGGTTGAGTGACCTGGGTTTTGTTTTGTTTTGTTTTTTAAAGGAATCTCTGTCACAGAATATTACTCCACAGTTTCTTCTCTGAGGTTGAAGTAGAATTTGGTACCAATAACGTTTCAACGTAGTCTTTGATGAACTAGAAACTAAATCTGGCTTGTTAAAAGGAATACACAACAGTGTTTTGAGGATTTCTCTGATTCGTTTTTTTTCTTTCTTTCTTTTTTATGAACACCATTCACCATGTACACAGTCATTTGTGTTGCTTCTAGGCAGTAAATTGCCCTTGAATTTGGTGACAGAAACAGTCTCCCACTGAGGTGTACAAGCAGCTGTAATTAAAGGCAATGACAAAAAACGGTTTTGCTTTGGAGTTCTAGGAGTCTCAGGGTTAGTACATCCCTGGATACAAGCCCGGCCTCCGTGAACTTCCCTCAGTCCTCAGTCTCCCCTCTTCATCCCTACTTTAGCTGTGTTCCTTTGAATGTGCCAGCACTGGAAGTCCATTCCAGAACCTGGGTTGGGCATGCTCTATAAATAAACATGAAATAGCATCTTTACTACAGGACCTACTTCTGACAGAGGCCACCAGCCTGCACCCAGGTCAGAGGCAGATTCAGGCCTTGCTGTCACCACCTCTAGTACAGCCAAAATCTAGGACTAAAAGTCAGCACATTTGGGGACCACTTGGTGTATATCAGCACTCTCTCGACCACTTTGGATATAGTGCCCTGGCTACTTCTCTCCCAACCTTTTGAGAAAGACACTGTTATAACTGTTTTTGCAAATTGATAAACTGGGGTTCCTAAGGGTTAAGTAACTTGTTCCAGACTGTTTGCAAACGGGGTGCCCACCGGAATGGGGTGCCCACCGGAATGAGCCCTCACTAGAAGCACCATATTGCTCAGCATTTAGCAATTACCCAAGCTGGATAGGCAATCTCCCACTTAGGCCAACCAGTAGCCCAGTCCCACCAGACTAGAGGGAATGCAGCATCTTTGAAGCCACTTATTTTTAAAATTACATACACATTTATACAATCATGAATGGCAAAATTTCAAATATTTTCCTTTTGTCCACAAAGTAATGTTTCAATTTTTTATTGAATAATTCAAAGGATGAAGGTGTGGGGGGAATCAGCGTCACATTTTGTCTCCGTTGATTTTCTTCCCAAGTTAATGATAACAAAGAGCAACAGAAACAAAAACCAAGCAGGTGCTTGCTGCCTAGCCTGGACACTTGAGAGTTAAATCCCGAAGACCCATAAGATGGAAAAAGAGAATTGACTTTAGAAGTCATCCTCTGAGGATGAGGGGCACCGCACGGAACACACACGACTGAATTTTTAAATGAAGAAAAACAAACACAACAGCAACCTTCCCCAAACATTGCTGCAACCCAGGTCCCAAGTGTCCACTTAATTAAATAAAGAGATCACAGCACATATAGGAAACCAAGGGTCTTGGGGTCAGAAGTCAGCACTAGCTTCCTGATGTCCTCCCACTTCTGTGTGTACGGACAGGCACCTACACCTGTACTCATCTCTTAAGCGCGAGAAGGTCATAACTGCTGCCCAGTTCAGAAGGATCTGACCTGATCTGAAACAGGAGACAGCTCAGGCAGCGTGGATTCTCTCCTAGGGAAGGAGGCAGGTGAGGCAACAACCCTCCAGCGGAGAGTGGCTCTAGCTGGCTTTGGACCCTCTTAGTCTGCCTCCAGGACACGCACGGAAAGGCCTTCGGGTTTCTCATTCCTTGCACCTCCCAACTTTCACTCGCGGGAGACCTAAGCTCTAGTATCTCCGGGGATGGTGATCACCTGCTACCCGTGGTGGACAGGGTGGGCAGGAGGCAGGCCCCAGGGTGACCGAGGCACCAACTGGATCTTCTGGTAGCCCACTCCGACCCCTCCTGCCACTGACGCGAGGTCCCTGGGGCGGTTCCCACGGCTAGCACCACGGCTGTCGGTTGCCGCTCACCCCAATCCCAGCCTCAGAACCGCGTGAGGGATCCCTGGCTCTCACCGGTCCCAGGGCTGCCTACCTGGCTGCTGGCCGGGGCGTCGGCGTCGCAGAGAACCGGGCTGAACCGCTGCCTTCTCACTGGGCTGCGGGGCGGGCTGCAGGGACGGCGGGTTATATGGGCGCCGGGCGGGGAGGCGGCGGCAAAAGGGACTGCCGCGGGCTTAGCGCCTTTCGCAGCGGACCGGCGGGAAGGC